AGAAATTGGTTTTTCTCTAGTTAAGAGCTCAATAAGGATAACTCCAAAGCTATAAGTATCACTATTTTCTGTTAATTGACTTGACTAGTAATATTTAATTTATAGTTACCAATGTTTTAAAACTCGAACCGGAGGTCAAACCATTTTGACCTCCGGTTCATGGTTTAACCGGTTTAACCGATTTAACCGATAAAATCGCCGATTCATTAATATAGTATAAATATATTATTTTGCAAAATATTTCACAAGATATCCATTGAGTGCGATGGTAGGTGGTTGCTTTCTTATACTGAAGATCGAGTACCCTTATGAACAAATTTTAAATAATTATGGTTTCAAAAATAGACTAAATATATTATGAAACAAAATATTGCAAATAAAAGCTTGTGTCTCGGGTGGAAGAGACTATGGTTAATAACGTAGAGAATGGGTGTTCGAATCCCATGGTTGTCATTCATAATTTGGTTAAAAGTTTTGAAGTTTCTATTAGATAAATAAAATTTCAAGCATCCATTGACAAACAGAATGCATTGTCCTGGCGGCAAAGCGTTGGAATGAACTAAAAGGACTTCAAGGTTGCAAGTTCAAGCTTCATGGGGGACAAATTTCTCAAGCTTTTGTTCTCAAGCATTGAACCGTTCGGTCGAATGGTTTTTTGGTTTGAGCGGTTTCAATGGTTCTTATTGGTTTTCAAACGATTTGATCTTCAAACGGTTTAAAGGATAGAATCGAACCATTTATACTATCGAGTACTGGTTCAACCAGTTCGACCAGCCGATCCGATTCGGTTTTCAAAACCTTGCTAGTTACCCAAATGTGCCTTGAACATTTGTGGTAAAATGAGTTTGATCACTAGCAATTGATCTCGATGTCCCAAAGTCTCAAACTTTTTCCCTATACTTTTCATCTAAGAATATTTGAGGACTTGACATCTTGGTGATAAATGGGAGGGGAGGTTGCTAAGTGCATGTAAGAAAGGGCAACTGCAACTTTTGATGCAATTATCAATTGTCTTCCCCAAGATAATTGGAACTCCTCATTCTTATCATGTATGTATTGGAAAAGCGCCCCATTGGGAATGAATTCATAAACTAGTAAAGGAACTTCAATCTCCAAACAACACCCTAATAACTTAACAATGTTTTTGTGATTAATATGCATAAGAATGATCACCTCATTGATGAAATCTTTAACTTTTTCTTTA